TACTTGCTCTTTGAACTCTTAAATACTGAAGTTCCAAAGTAAATAGAGAAATCACATGGCTAGCTTCAATCTTAGTTCTGGTACTTGATCCTGTCACAAACAGCGTGTTATTGCTGAGCACAGAAGATTGTCTGCCTAAGATGTAGCGTTATCACAGGCATTGTGTATTCCTCCTATGAAGTTATAGGAAGTATAAAGCCCTGACAACACAGCATGGCTTTGTAATCACTCTAGTACTGCTATTGGGAATGTTTAAAAAAAACCTTTATTTACCTTGTTCCGAAGCAGGTCCAGTGATTAAAAAGTCTACAGAATACTGCTGTGAAATACCTGTTCACTGGTGATATTACAAGTGCTATGTTTGCTGTGGCAGCTCTGCATAACATTTGAGAAATTAAAAGTGTCAATGGCAAGGTAAAGGAAATAGGTATCTTTGATCTAACTATGTGGTAACTGTCATTAGATGTGAATAAAAAAGGCATATATGAAGAACCAGACAAAAAATTGTGAGGAAATCAGCCTAAGCATTTCAACCACCTTCCTTTGGGATTATCAGCTCTCTTGCAGAACTCTTGTACAGTCCTAAAAAACTGGTAGAGGCCCAGGGTACACCCTGTTATGTAGACTGACAGACAGGAGACACCGATGTCACAGCAAAGATGGCACCCCTTCTGTCTGCTGCTCTTGCAGCAAGATGATTTAAGGACTTCACGGAGGTCTGGGGGCTGAACTCCTGACCAAGATGGCCAAACATATACTCCAATGCCTTGTTGCTCAATTATTGGCCAGGCCACGGTAGCAAATTGTTCTAAAAGCTGAGCTCTGAGATTAATTGTTCTGTCAGCCTCCCCTCCTACCACTTTGGCAGCAACTTACAGTTAAAGCCTACAACAACCAAATTTGCAGGCGTGCACTCTCTCATTCTACTTCCTGCTTCCACTCCATGACCTTCTGTCAGGTTCACAGATATTCTTGGCAAGAGATGCCAGAATGATTCCTGAGGGACTGTTTATGTGGAAAACTCTGATCCAGGCTCCCAGGAAAAACAAAAATCTGCACAGGAGGAGGGATGAGAGAAGCTCAGGCGGTTTAGGCCTGAGTTAAAGGAAACCCTTGAAGGGAACCATACTCAAAGATTACTTAAAATGGTGGACTCGCAGAAAATCTTATCACCATTACAAACACGCTCAGAGGAACTTGTTCTCACACTTGTTCTTCTGAGTGGTATTACAGAGGAAATAGCTGTTAAACCTCGGAGTTGTAGGTGTCTGAGGGAGGATGTCCTGTGTTATATGATGAAGAATCCCTGAAAGCGACTCGGAGGGCCTTGAAAAACCTCATGGATCTTAAGAAAATCATATGGTGTTCCATTTATAGGATAAACATTGGTTGCCCTTTTGAACAGAGCATTGTCAAGAATTACACCTGAACCCCCAGGTATACACAAGCAGTAGTCTGTGTTTGGGAGGTGAACAGTTTCCAAATTTGAAGTTTGTCCAGTGCTTTTAGCAATATGACGTTAGAAGGATAAATTTGACACTGGAGTCTAAGTTTATATCCATATTAATGACCATGGTCCCATAGCACCAGTAATGAAAGGGGAGGTCACTACCCATACTCTGATTGCAGTCACCCCTAATTTAGAACTGTAAATCTGTGTCTCTTTTTGTAGAATAATGCATATGTTTTATCTCATTAAGCCCTCTCACTGTCCTGTGCACGAAATGGTGGTAAGAAGTACCTCATAATTAATGCACTTTGGAGCCAGTTTGGTTGTAAGAGTGCTTGGAACCACACCTGCAGTCACTGTGCAGCAGTGAGCTATGGACCAAGTATGTCATATTATTCCTGCTTCACCGTTGTATAGACTCATCAGAGGATAATTCCTGATAAATTTCTGATAAGAAAGAGCTCTGTAAAACACTTCAGAAGAGGAGCTTGCTGAGGCACAGCACTACAGAAACAGAGCTGTGTGTCAGCGTGTTTGCCCCAAGCAACACCAAGGTGCAGCTGCAGCCCCGGCTGTTCCTTCGCTTATGAGTGCACAGTGTGGGGAGGAAGTGTGCCACCACTCCCACTCCTTCCTCCCACAAGCAACAGAGGTAGCAGCCTCGAAGTGCCTGACACAAAATGTACAGCATTTTGAGAAAGATAATAAAGACTCAGATGCACGTTCTCATGAGAAAGTAAAATCAAACTTAATGTGATTGGTTATTGGTTGTTATTTGGTCCTCCTTAGCTTCAGATTCTGGCCTGGAATCCTGTAGATGTATAAACATGTTTAATGCTTTGTGAATCATCATAACAATGTTGTTGTTATCACATTCTAATGATGTTGGGTTGGTCCTGCAAGATGATATCATTATCCAGTATTGAGAGCTAAGTTTCATATGAAAAAGCAGCTCACTACTCACCAGTGTTACCCATAAAAGTAATTAAGCAGTACTTGCACTTGTAAATTAATGAAATATATTTGTGTTATTCCTAAGAGAAGCTGAAGTCATGTTCACATCTGGGACACAGCATGTGATTCCACTAAGGCCAATACAACTTGTATTACTACTTGAGTTTAGACCTATGAAATTCTTAGCTCAGAATTCCTTTTAAACCTAAAAAAAGTCCCCTCATCACTGTTCACTCAGTTCCTAAGTGGAAAGCATGGCTGCAAAATTATCAAATGAACACAAATGGCGTTACAAGCTAGTATGGTATTTAGATTGAAAAATATTTTGAGGTAGGTAATACCTCTGACTCTACAAATCTTGTTTTATGTCAGAAAGCTCTATGGCTTCCCTACAGAAAAAGATTGCTCTCCTATGAATTTCTACTAAAATAAAGTGTCTAGGAAATACCTAGACTTATGGACACAGACACTGAACTTCTCTTAGACCACAACTCTTTATCTCAATAATTGTGGCATTAGATGAGATTGGCAATGTGATAAGTCCCTGAACTACAGTGTTCAATGTGCTGCTCTGCCATTTCTCAAGTCGCTCGGGCTTGCATTTCTTTTTCCCTGGAAAATGTCAAAGAATTCATAGATCAAAAACTGGGAGCTGACGCACAGACAGAGGTGCTGGATCTAAGAAGTGATTGAGGAACTGGGATGAGAGTTCTTGGTGGAAAGTAAGAATTTTAGAGTCCGCAACTCTACCTCTTTTAAGATGTGAACTTCTTAAACTTGCTGCACTTATTAGCATTAGAATTGGCCGGTCTTTAGTCAGAAGAAGTCCATTGATATCTACATCTTAGAGATGGGAAGTAGATTGTCATTTGGTGGGGACTTTTTCTCCAGTGTCAGTAGGAAATCAAGGCATTGCCCAGTGTTATGAAGCAGTGTGCTACTAGAAACATTGCTCTGTCATTGAAATACCATCCATTAGTACTCGTGACTCGTCAGATGAATTATGAACTAACTGAATTTGAGTAATTGTCTTGCCCTACTACAAGGACAGGTAATATTGCTCCTGCTTAGTATTGCCTCAGGCTTTTGTGCCAGAAAAGCACACTAGAATTCAATGTTGACTGGTAACCAACAGTGAATTTAAAGTGCTGTCACACTCATCGTGCTCAGCTTCCCTAGGTGGCCAAAACACATAAGAAACAATCCACAAGAGATGGCAAAAAGCTAAAGGATGGGGATTTTTTTAATCCCTGTTTGTTTAGGAGAGGAAACAAAATGTGTTTGTAAACCAGAGAGGCTGCTGCAGGTGTAGAGGACTTTGTTACAGCTGGCATTCTGAAAGATCAGTTACCTACATCAAAGCTGTTCTGCTGCCTTTGCTGTCTGCTTGCTTATTTCTGAGGCTGCACAGGAACCATACACACAAAGTGAATTAAAAAGAGCAGGGTTCTGCATTCAGTACCCTCTTTGAGTGAGCGGTCTAACCCTTAACACCAGACATCCCAAGTTCTCCTTAAGCTGATGAGATGATGGGACAAAGTGAAATGCTTTTGGCTTTAAAAAGACACTTGGCAATGATAATATTATGCTTGATTGAGAAAGCAAGTGAAATCATGTAATATGATGCTAGAAATGATGTAGGTTGTGTTTCAGTTTGAGTTGTTGACTGGGAATGAATGGATTAATAGGTAAAACATCTGAGATTGTTACTGAATTTATTGTAATAAATATTACTTTACAATATTTTCCTCCTGCTTGTGAAGCATTAAACTATTAAGGGGTGCCAACACATGATATTAGGAGTGTGTTATGACAGAAATATTATAAATGTTTAATATTAATCATTTAATAAGTATTACAGGTTGTCACCAATATTTGAAGCCACTTGTAAGAAGCACACCTTAATATACCACACTATTACCATACCCTACTGTAAGGCACCTGTTGTGCTTTTATCCACTGGTATGGAACATATGCATTACTGATGATTCACCTTTTTCTACCCTCTTGCCATGGATGGTCTTGTAAAGACAGTGTTAACAACAGACACAGGGATAAGGCTCATGTGATAAACGGTACCGTCATAGTTAGTGTATAGATGTGTTGCATTAATTTCTCATTTACCAATAATTTTATAGCTGTCAGGTTCAATATAAACTCAGAGTATGTTAAAATATAAATTCTAGCAATCACTGTAAAATAGTTCTTCACGCGTTCCTGCGCACACGAGGTCCCGTGGGAGGCGATCCGAGGGCGCCCATTCAGAACAACACACACGGTGTAATTACGGTCTGGCTCCTCCTCGTTACCGCAGCCAGCCTGGAACCGGGGCTGTCGTCCGTGCCAGGCGGGGCTATTCCTCGCCGTCTCGGCATTCCCGGGCCTGTGTCACCCCGGAGGACAGGGAGGGAGGGAGGGATGGCAGCGGGACAGGGGACGGAACTCCCGGGAGCGGCTGCGGAGGGAGCGGGGCCGCAGCTCCGCCCCCTCCCCGCCCACACGGGGCGGGCGGCGGCCGCGTGGTCTGATTGGCGGGGAGCGGCGCCAATCACGGGGCGGGGGCGGGGCTGGGCGCGCGCGGCGGCCGTTGGCGCTGCGGGGGCGCGCTCGGGGCAGCGCGCGGCTCCGGCCTCTGCCCGGGCAGATCCTGCCCCGCCGGCGCCTCTCCCGCTCCTTCTCTCCTCCCTCCCGCCGCGAGCAGCCGAGGGCGTCCTCCATGCGGGAGAAGAGGAGGAGGAGGAGGAGGTGGGAGCTGCTCGCCGGCCATCCCCGGCGCCCGGCAAGTCGGAGCCGACCCGCCGCCGCGCCGCTGCTGCCGCATCTCCCCGCGGCGCGGAGCCGGCGCTGAGCCCTGCCCGCCGCGCCGCACCCGCACCCCTCCTCGTAGTCTTACCCCCATCCTCCTTCCAGTCTTCCCAGCCCCCTCCTCCTAGTCTTCCCCCTCCTTTTTTTTTTTTTTATCCCCCTCCCGCCCCCCCGCGCCCCCATTTGGTTCTCACCCTGGCCGCGAGCAAAGCGTCTTCATGAGCGCAGAGGATGTCCGGGAAGCACTACAAGGGGCCTGAAGTCAGTTGTTGCATCAAATATTTCATCTTCGGCTTCAATGTCATTTTCTGGGTAAGCGGAGCCGGTTGCGCGGCGCTTCGTGTCCTCCTCTGCCACCTCCTCCTCATCCTCCTCCGCTTCCATCCCGGCCGCCGGCGCCCCCGGTCTGGGCACGGCCGGGAGCGACAGGGACGTGTGACAGCCAGGCGCGAGGCCGCGGGGGGATTTTGGATGGGGTGCGGGTGCGAGGCCGGGGGTGCTGCCGCCTCCGACACCCCCTCCGGCCCCGGACAGCCCTTCCCCGGGCAAGTTGTGGTGCTGCATTCCTCCACCTCCCGGGGATGCCGGCTCCTCTTCCCTTCCGGCCCTCCTAATTGCTTTTGTTGTAGGTGCGAAGAGGATTTCGTGCCTTTTTTTTCCCCCCCTCCTTTTTTCCTGTTTCCTCCTTCCTTTCCCCTCCTCTGCTTTGTGGTGGGGGAGGGAGGGAGCAGCCAGACACCCGGGCCTGGAGAACGAATTGATCTGCGTGTTTTCACGCTGACATCCCTGTTAGATGCAAATAATAATAAAAAAACCCATCACAGCTCAGATTCTCTTAACAGTGATGTTTAATGATTGCACAATGGTGAAGCTGAGTATGGCAAGGGATTGTTATGATTAGCTGTTAACACATACTAGTAGTAGCAAGCATAGAATGGAGGAGGAGGGAAACAGTATTTCCACCCATCCCTAAAGTTCAAGCCCATGGGAGGCTCGCTTGGGCATTTGTTGGGATTCTGGCTGTGATCTGCCTGCACAGTATCTTGTTGCACCATTCTGGCTGTAGAGTAGGCAGAACTGTATAGTGAAACGTAACCTTCATATACTAGTGCTTCTAGCATCTTCTCCATGTGTTGGATTTGAAAGAGAAGCAGCTGTTTTCGGATGTACATGCCAAATTTCAGAACCACAGAGGGGAAGGATGTGAGCATTCTCACACACGTGTAAATGATGAGGTCTTCTTACTGCATGGAATGTTCAAGTCGAGTGAAGGCTCTTACATGTACAATCCCCCTCTTGTCATGAGATGTTCCACATAACAATGAGGAACATGCACAAACCCAGGTAGAGTGAATGTGTTTTTGACGGGCTTTGAAAGCAAGTTGAATATATATCCAGTATAGTGGCTTGTTTGGACTAGAAAGGAGAATTGAGGAAAAAACCCCACACCACTTTGAAGTTTTATGGATGAAAGTGGGGAAGAATAGAAGAGAAAAAAACTAAGCAGTACTGAGCTTCTGATTGTCCCCTTGGTGAGAACAGAGAGTGGTTACATGGGCAGCAGGTATCCATAGCTAATCTCAAGTCTGTTTTCCTGGAAAATAAAGATACCTGAAGAGGATGTTTGAAAGGATGGGAGTTTTGATTAATTACATTTTTATACTGAAATACCTTTCCTTAATCAAGAAGGTATGCTGCAAGAGTGAACCTGACTCTAGCTTTATGTCGGTGTTTACTTGGCCCCAGGCTGACCCCTGAAGATGAGTGGTAGCAAGCTTTGTAGTATTCTGACCCGACACAGCTGTTTTGATTGTACTCTTACGTTCAGTTTTTAGAGGTTGAGTTTGCCATGGTTCTTTTCACTTGTCTGTTTCTTTATTTGGATTCTCCTAGGCATATGTTGCTGTGAGCATGAATATTTTTCAGCAGGAAACAAGTGCTGTGAGGAACATTTGAGTGCAGTGTCCTTGGACTAAGAGAGGGAGATTATGGTGAAATCTATGTTAACATGCTGTTTCAGGCACTGTCAGTATATCAGAGGCTATACACCCTATAATTGCCTTCATTTTGTCTTCTGAAGGTTAATGTGTGCAGGGTGCAAGTGGGAAGGTGGTATGTTTTCTGTAGCTACGCGTTTTCTAATCCTGTGTTCTTGAGGCTGGTGCAGCACAACTTCTGCAGATGTGCCTCTCTTGTAACTGAATGGGCCAAAGGATATTCCACTAGGCCAGAGGCTTTATACTACTGGAATGCTAATCTGAAAACCTGAAAAAATATAATTGTATTTCACCCACTCAGCCACTTGCTTGATGTGTGGCCCTTGCTTGCAGATTTCCTCTTTTGTGAAATGCTAATCATCTCATTTGTGTTCCTGGCAAAACTTCTTGAAATTTACGGATACCAAGCACTTTATAAGAGTTTAGTAATTTCTTTAGAATATTGTAATCTCTTTACAAGAAAGCCTGCATTTATTACCACATCTTTCATGATTTGGAGTGAAAATATAGGCAGTTACTCTCGTAGAATACATTTTAATATTGTTTTTACTGAATTAATAGCAAATCCTTCAATAGTCTATGATGAAACTGGGTCAGAAAAGCTGTAAATGAAAATTGCAAATTCAGTTGGCTGTTTACAGAAAGTAATTATCAAAAATAGCCACTAATGTAGTAATTTTATATAGGTAAAAATGATTAAGAGGTCATCATATTAATGCCACGACACTCTCCAGGATCTTGCAAACGTGGAGATATGTAGCACACCTTTGTTAGACCTTTTACCTGAGCATTGTTATATAGTTGTTTCAACACAATCTTTAAAAATTTTAATGTAAACAAGTGGGAAATACTCTTTATTCTGCATCATAAACCAGTGGACTAAAAGAGAATGAGTTGGAAGAGTAATGATTTTGACAAGAAAATTGTCAATGCCTTGAATAGAGGAATGTTATAGATCTGCTGAAATGATTGGGAGAGTGATTGTACATGCTACTTAAACTGAAATTATTACAAAAAATCCGAGGCTTTAAATGCCACAGAATATGGGCAAAATAAATTACCAGGCCTTTTTGTCTTTTTGGTTTTGTGCTGGTTAGATATTTCTTTCTTTAAAAACCACAACTGAATTATTAGAGCAATGACTATGGGAAAGTTGCACTCTAATGCTCTGTATGTAGTTGTGACTAAAGGTGACAGTATGCTTTTTGAAGATAGTTCTCAGACTTGCATCACACCAGGTAACATGTTCTTGCCTAAATATGTGCTTCATACCGTTGTAGAAGACAATATTATCTGCTGAGTCTATGCATAATTAATGTTTTAGTTATATTTGCAAGCTTAATTTCTTTTGGAAATTTGGTATTAATGTTGGTAAATACGCTGAAAGTGTTTGTTCAGAAAAGCTTATTTTATGAGACTACTATGCTGCTGTGGAACAGGAAAGCTCATTTTGCAGTGGTCAAAGTAAGATTTAGGAACGGAGAACTAATAGGCACAAATACATCTAAATCAAAAGTTAGAACTCAATATTATGCCTCCCTTCACATTGCTCAGCTGCTGTCCTTCTGCAGGTTGTTCAGGGGGCACACACCTGTGCTTTAACTTGATTAGCATAATGCCTGTGCAAAGCATCACATGGTTTGCTACCTTTCTAGGCTGGCAGCTGGTGGAATAGACAGTGCTTTTTTATGAACCTCTCTGTTTTTGTCTAGGTAAACCATAAACTGTAATATAAGGTAAGAGTAAGCATTTTTCTATAGTTAAAGAAAGCAAACAAATGATGCTCCTTCCTCCTTTTCCCCTTAGGCTTCCATGTACAATGTTGTCAAAGATAGAGTGCAAGAGGTCAAAGTAGGCCAGCCAGCTTCCCAAAGGCCAAGAACCATTTTTCCCTCTTTCCCCCTCTACTTTTCCAAGACAGTTTTAGGCTGACTTTAGTTCCAAGAGCTTTTTTAAATTGTTCTCTGTGCTTTATTATATTTGATGGAAACTGCATATATATACTATTGCTTAACTCTGAATTTCAATCCACACTTGATTCCACTGACCCTTGTCTAATTGGAAAGATATAAAAAGCACTGACAACTCAGAAACTTTTGCTTTATCTGATGATTCACTGTAAGTTGTGAGATATGCTGCAGTTATGATACATCAGCATATTACAAGTCATAACTTGTGTTTTAATTTGCTTGGCATCTGATGGTTTTGATGGCAACCATATGGGAGTCTAGTCTTCCGAATTACAGAGAGATAGCAGAAAGAAAATAAGGTTATGTAAGTGTGTTATGGGAAAAGTGTTGGAAAAGTGCAGTGACCTTTAAAGGACAACCAATAGATTGCTTTTTAAATTTTGTACATTGTTGATAGTTTGTTTTCAGAGGGGGAAAAGATAATTTTTGATGTCAGCTGGTTTTCAGATATCCACAAGGAAATTTGGATTATGTAATTTTCCCTTGCCAAAACAAATCAATGTTTGTTCCGTGCAATTTTCTAATGCATTCTGTAGCATTTGATCTTTAAAAATTTGCATTGAGAAGATGTCCTTGCAGTGGAAGTGGAAACATTCTGTTCATTTTCCTCCCTTCCCCCTTTTATGATCAAATGATTCTTATTTTTTATTTTGCATTTCTTAATAGCACAGATAGCTAAACATTCCACAAGTGGTCTTGCCAGAAGCAAAACAATGCTTGTTTTGGGCAAGTATCCTGCTGTTTTGTAACAGTGAAGGGCAGTGGTATATATATTGATGAAAGAGATGCGTTGTTGTGAGTTTGTGATTCTTGAACTCCTCAGTGTCTCTTTCAGCAGGTGTAGCCCCAGTATTTCAAATGCATATAAAAATTTAGTAGCTCCCGGCTCCAAGAGACTTGCTTCAGATTTGTAGAGATTGTTCATGGCATAGAATTTTTCCTTGCCCTGCATTCCCTTATAGCTTGGTGGTAGGCTGTGTCATTGGTCATACAAAAAGAAACATGGAAGGAACATGGATGAAACTGTTTCCTTTCACACAAATATTTGTTTTCCCAAACTAGATGTTTGTAAATGTTACTGTTTTAAGCTCTTCGATGTCTCTAGTTTCTGAAAGACTGAAGAAGTGTAAGGGCACAAGAGCTAGAGAAAACTCATTGTGATTGATTGTGTGGCTCCTCCTGTTTGATGTCAATGTACTTCAAGAGAATATTATAGAAACTATCATAAGCAGCTTACATACTTTTCTTCTCTGTTAAAGATGAATTTGGTAAATATATTTACCAGTCTCTCACCTTGATTGAATTGTCAGAGTAAGTTTTTTCTGGTTGCACATCTATCTCAAAG